CAATTGAAATTCTGACCTTGACTTTAAAACTTAATTGTTTTTTCCTGTTTTTCTCCTTTAATATTGCTTTATACTCGTACATTTCTTGTCCTTATTTCTTTTTTATTTTTAAAGGATATTTTAGTACTCGTACAAAGATATCGGTTAAGGAAAATCAGCTACGTAAAAGAAAAACATATTTTCGAGACATACTTTTTTATAGTTGTTCTTTGGTTCTTTTTGATTATTCCGTAATATTTTATGTTTTCTTTGATATTTTTGTTATTTCTTTTGCCGAAAATTAAATAATATTAAATGATAAAATTCAATTAGGAAAGACTATCGTTGTATTTTAGATTAGCCAATCCTCCTGTAAAAGTATAGTCGGTAATTTTTAGTATAAGTATACGATTTTTTCGTCTTTATCACTTACTGTGTTTTTATTGGAGAGAAATGTAAATAAGTAATTTAATTTAAGACTAAAGACTTTAGTTTTTTGCACACAGAGGGCTACACAAATCCTGTAATTAAAAATTGCAATTCATCAGCTATGCCCTATATCATGGTACCTATGCTATCATTTTTCTCCTCAATTAATTAAAGGCATCTAATGTAAAATATTTAATTTATTTGACTGAAATGCAAACATTATTTCGAAAAAATCGTGCAACTGAAATTGTCATACTGCAATTGTGAGAATTTTAATTATGAATTTCGTTTTTTCATTATTTTATTTAAATATTATGTTTTCATAATTTTTTAATTTAATATTTACCTTTAATAAATAAATGAAATCGTAAAATGTACTTTTTCAATTATGAGGTTGTATATCCAAACATATGCTTTTTAAAAATAAAAATAATTTTTTTTCTTCATTTTATTTGAATATTTAAAACAAATAACAAACGATTTTTCTCTTTATATTTAATTTCTGTTAAATTTTTACTCTTTTTTTTTTTTTATTTCTCAAAAATCTCACTTTACTTCAAACTCTCTTATTTATAGTATGTAGTATAATTAAATTAATTAGCAATAGAATTTTAAGCACTCTCCCTAAAAGTATGCAATTTTATAAATTTTTATATTATTCCAATTATATTACATTTTATGCAGTTAGGTATAGGTACATTCACGCCTAAAAACATACAATAATTGTACTCGCAATTTATTTTATATTCGTTAGAATAATAATGGATCTTATAAAATATTTGAATAATTAAACAACATACTACAATAATAATTATAATTATTAATATTTTAATAATTAATATTTATTTATTTAAAAATATATAATATATAAATACTTTCGTAATTATGAATACATATAGAATTAATCGTTTTCTATTTTAAAATTTGCACTCAATTTTCAATGAAACATTTTTCTAATAATAATATATTTTTATAGATAATTTAAATTTTATTAAACAATTAATTAACATTTATTAAATACACACTATATTAACTATTGTACAGTAAGAAATAATTATAAATATTTTAAACTCACAGATTCGCCTTAATTCGCTTTATATATTTTCACTTAATTTTTAATTTTAATTTCGTATTTTACAAAATTATTTAATAATTTTTTTAATTATGTATTTTAATAAAATAATTTTTTGTCAAAATTTCCCTCTCTTCACAGCACTTTAATTTATATTAATTTTTATAAACTCCGATAATTTTAGTTTTTCTTTAATAATACAATTAACTTCCGTACATGTGTTTGGAAAAATAAAATATCTCATTCCAATATATGCATGTATATAACGTATTGGTAATTTATTCAAAATGTAATTTCAAAATCTAATTATAATTTAGAATAATATATTAAAGTAATTATTCTTATTCTGTATTATAACCATTATTATTTTGTACTAATTAATATATAAACTAATTTGTTTTTTCATAAAATTTATTTCTTAGAATAAATAATTCATAAATTTTCTTATTAAATATAACTGTAATCGCCTTATTAAGGGTAGAAAATGTACATTACATTTTTAATTTTTAATATTCTTTATTGATTTCTCGTTATATTTTTTTCATAATTTCTCAATTGATTTTGACTACTAAGTATGTTACTTATTAATATTAAAATACGCCTCTAATATACTTAATGAATTTAATAAATTTAATATTAAATTTATTATTTATTTGAATTTTTTTTTTTTAATTATTTTCAAATATTTTAATATTTTATATTACTAATTATTTTATTAATTGTTTTCCCAAAAAATTTTTATATTATAAAAAAAAATCATAATCCAATTGTAATCCAAATATTTGTAATTTATAATTTCAAAAAAAAAAAAATTTAATTATTTTATCATTTTTTTTTTATTTTTATTCATTTACTCAATCCGTTACACCATAACCTTTCATCTTGAAGTACGAACATTAACTAAATAAAAAGAATTTTCTTTTACACTTACTTCGATATTTAAAAATTATCTTTCTGTTGTCTTTCATTCACTCTTATACATTTCATTTTTTCAAAACTTCCCTTTTTTCACAACAAAAATATTACCTATAGAATACAACTTTTCTTTTTTAAATTAGATACCGTTATTAAAAAATAAAATAGCAATAACGAAAATGAGAAAAGAAGAAACAAAAAAAATTTATACGAAAACCAACAAATTCATCATAATATAATCTCCGTTATTTTGTTCACTAGAGCTCTCTCTATACGCCTTATAATATGTTACTCCGTTATCATTCAATAGTCAACTAAAAAAAATTGATACCTCTAGAAACAAATATTCCTTTTATTTTGAATTCCACCTATATACATACATAAAAACAAAAGTACATAATATATGAGGAGCAAAATTATAAATAAAGTTGGGTCAAACCAATGGTTTGTATTGTAGCACTTTTCCCTTCAACAAGTGAAAATTCTGCTTTTAAAAACAGTCTATGTATATCCACCACACTATTAAAATTATTTTCATTCATATACAAAACTATTTCTAGGATTGCATATATTTAGGATGATGCATACATGCAGTCTTTGAAATAAAGCAAAAATTAATATAAAGTGTGGTTAACATAATGCTCGATTTTAAGGGTTAATTGTGTGAGTTAAGAAAAATAATTATATTTTTTAATGTCATGGAATTTACCTTTAGCTTCTTGTGTTTATAGAAATTTGAAAATGCTTGCGGTTTCGGAAATATAAGGTGTCAAAAACTCAAATTTTACAAATTTCAAGAGGCCATAACTTGAGAGGGGGTGGAGATGGAAAAAAATTTTATTCTAACGAAATGAACTACTTGTTAATGTCTAAAAGCGCCTAAAATTTCAAGCTTCTACATGCTGGGGTCTAGAAGAAAAGCGACATCAAAAATTTGGAAAAAAAGGACTTTAGATAACGGTAAATTTGAACGGCCATTTTGTTTTTCTAAAATTTAACTATAGTATACCGCGGTAGGGGAAGCAAGCCACTGCCTTTCTGCGTTTGAAAAATTTCAAAAATGCTTATGGTTTCATTGCAACAAATAGTTAAAATAGGCCATTTTTAGTGCTTTGGGGGGGTATAACTTCTAGAGGGGGGGAGATAGGTAAAAATTTTGTTCTACGAAAATAAGTTTCTAGTAAAGATCTATGTACGTATTAAATTTCAGCTTTCTATCTTTAAGAATGTAGAAGTTTTGTAAACAGACACACGGACAGACGGACGGACGGACGGACGGACGGACGGACAGAGTGAAACTAATAAGCACTTTTTTTCAAAATTTTTTTGGAAAAGTGCTAAAAAGAAACAAAAAGATCCCAATCAAAAATTCTTCCCCAAGCTTTAAAGAATAATGTATAAAATTTCAATATAGACATTCAACAGGCTGCTTTCCTTATATCAGGAATGTAAACAAAAATAGAAATATTTTTAATATCTGGTAATACCGTAGGTATTTTTTTCCATATTTTATTCAAAACATTTGAAAAACGCATGATAAAATTAAAAGCTTTTTGGCTTTTAGCAAAAACAATAACATATGAAAGCTCTGTTTTGTCCATAACGTTTATTCAAAAAATATTTACGATATTAGAATTGGCACTTGTTGTTCTTATGTTTATTTACTTTTTGTTTCCTATTTAAATGTAAATAACTACGTTAGGGTAACCTTATCACCTGCATATATTCTTTTTTAGTGTTATACCCTGTATTCAAATTGACACAATTGACAAACTTCAACTAAAAATCTTGATAATAAAATTATTGTTGCTTTGGAACCGTATAATTTTATTTCTCGGTGCATGACTTGAAAAAAACGAATACGAATAAAAAACGAAACGCATTTTGTGTTCGTTCGTCAAAATTTGAACGTTATAAGAATTTTTCTCTGTATTTATTGTCCTTTATTTTATTGCTGGAAAACTGACCACCATATGCAAAGTTAAATATAAATGTATGTATGGTATTCTTATACATATGATGCGTTAAAATGCTAAGTTAAGACAGATAGAAATTTTTTACCGTTATCATGGTTTGTTATACGGTATACCTTTTAACGATAAAAAAGAAATAGAATATAAGGATTTCAAATTTAGAGTTGGCTAGTTTTTCAATATGTTTCATGGAAAAAATATTGTAAAAATTAGGGATGCAAATTGTTTCACAGTAATTGTTTTTTCAAGGAGAATTGGGAGTTTCAAACAAAAACATTTCGGACTTGTTTAAGATGTTAAAGTAAGAAAATTTGAAATAAATGCGGAAGAGGTACACTCTCAACTGCGGAATGAAAAATAAAGCAAATCTAATTTCCAAATGAAAAAACATTTCTTCTTAAAAATTAATTGCAACAATTTTGTTAAAACAGGACCTAATAATTTCTTTTTGGAATTGATTCCTTCGTCTAAAAGGCGATTTAAGCTACTGAAAGAAAACCGACTATTCGGTCGCTAATTATTAATATATAACTAGAATGCTATAACACGAAAATATCATTAAAATATAATTTTTTACAAAAAATAAAATGGGTTCATAGAACAATAAAATATTTATTCAATTTTAGGAGAAAGAATTAATTTTTTAATTTTGGCCACACTTTCGGTTCTATCCAATCTAAATAACTTGATACACGTGTGTATACACTTGGGGTTCTTGCTCCACATGATAATCCTATACTTGTTATTCCTACTACAGTTGAAATCGAAGTTTGATTTCTAATTTCTAATGGACCGCCAGCATCACCGCGGCACACGGAACCAAATTCATCATAAGCGCACAATTGACTTTCAATAATACCATCTGGTAGACGTGAATCATTTTTAATATATTCTTTTGTTGAGCATTCTTCTGATGGAACGAAATGAGTTATTGCATTTTGTAAAATTTCACTTTGCTCCCGTTCTAAAATATTTCACCATGATAGCATTAAATTGAAAACGAATATTAAAGCCTTACCAATTACACTTAATATACCCCAACCTGATATTGTTAAATCGACTTCCGGACTTATATCTTCAGCATGTGTGTACAAACAGGCCGGAAAAATACTAGATGAAAAATTGACTCTTTTTGCTAATTTTAAGAGAGCTATGTCATTGTAACCCTTAGTCGATACAAAATATTCATGTTTTATAATATTCTACAATTTTAAAATAAAATAAAATTTAAAACTTAAGAACTTAAGAAGGGCACAAAACGTATAAAACAAAAATTTAAGTAAATAAACGAGATAATTACCTGAATTTTAACATCATCATATGACTTGTCGTTTCTAATATTAACATGACCAATACGAACCACAACTGGGGGTTTTCCTACATTTTGAACACATCTAGCGCTGGTAAGCACAAACCTTATAATAAAATACGTAATTAAAATTAAGAAATGCAAAAAAATTTGTGTGCAGCTATTCTTTAAGTACTCACCTTCTAGATATTAAAGTACCAGCACAGTCCCAATCAAGTTGTGGATCTCCATAGCCAAGAGCAACAACATGTGGTAATTCATCCTTTTTAGTTTCTACCCCTGCAAAAATTCTATTTTCTATCGGTATAGGTAGTTCAGCATATTCCTTTTTAAATCTATTACAAGCTGTAATTTAAAGCAAAAGAATTTACGGTAAGAATGAAAACTGCTATATGCATTAGAATTATTTTAATTTCAATTTCAACTTTAATTTAATAAATATTTTTATATTTTAATTAACCTCTAACTGCAGGACGTTGTTTTTTGAGCGCTTTCGATTCAACTTCAGGCATCATTTCAGAATAGTCCAAAGAATCACTAGCAAAGTCACTAATATAGTAAAAACAATAGAAGAAGGAAACAATCATGTAAAAGAAAACATAATATTGTAATTAAAATAAAACAAAATATAGATCTGAAAATAGTATAGAATGAATAGTGTACTTACGGATGCGTAGAAACATTATCTAATTGAGAAACAGACCTGCGATCTCTTTTTGTGAAATATAATCTTATAGATTCAGTATCTGTACAACATGCTATCATTTCAGTACCATTATGTTTACATTGTTGAATATCTTTTAAATACAGTTTTCCAGTTATTAAATAATTCTGTAATGTCATACAGTTTTCGACTAATGTACATATTCCCGGAGTTCCTTTCCATTGACATGAACTTCCTTCTAAAATAGAAAGATTATATTATAATAACTTCAACTAAAAATATGTTTCTTCACTTGAAGAGCATAAAAAATAAATTTGAGTCTTCTGTGTTTCTTTTTCATATTAAGTATTCGAACCATTCTTAGAGCCAATCAAACTCAAGGTTTGTAAAATAGCACATTTACGTACTTAGGTTAGGTTTATTTAAAAATTTCTCCACTGCTTAATAATTTTGCGAAAGTTTTAATTTTAAATTATTTTTTTTTTTGGGCGTAAGAGTATACTTTTGAGGTTACTGTCACAGTTTTTGCCTTTAGAGAAATTCGGTTGAGCTTATGGTGTTTTGAAAATATGGGATCGAAAATTTACATTTTTTAAATTTTAAGTAGTAATAACTGAGGATGCACAAAGAAATCCTGTACAATAAAATGTAAAATGGCTCGATATCCATAAAATTAAGGTTTGAGAGAAGCCCGAGTCGCTCGGAAACAAATTTTCGGATATTAGCTAGATGTCGTTTTGAGATAACGATTACCATGACGAATTTATTTATACTTTCTTAAAATAGAAAATGTATAGTTACAAATTGTTTTTTATTTAGACAGGGCTACAGCTGTTCGTTAAAATTATCGGTTTTATACGAATTGGAATAACTTGAAGGGGATGAGGATTCGAAAATATTTTATTCTAACAAAATAATGCAACAACATCTACTGTCCAAATTTCGTTTTCTTCTCTACGAAAATTTTTTTTTTTCAATTTTAGTTGCGTTTAACAAAATACTTATTGAAGTATTCGACTTGAAGTAAAAATACACAGGAACACAATCTATTATAAACTTTACTGATAACACATTCAATTTATTATTTATATTTTTTTCTCAGAATATTTTTACTAATCAATTATCTTTGAATCTACTTGTATTTAAATAGTATTTAATAAACAATAAAGTGGGTCAATATCAAATCCCTTACAATAAACAATTTAATAATATCACAGTATTCTTTTATTCAATTTAATATATGTATAAACATTTAAACTACTCATCGTAATTGAAAGCGAAATCGAATATTTAAAGTCAATAAGTTCGTGGCTTGTGGTGTACTAATTATAACTCATAACTTGAGTAACTCTCTAAGGTGTTCAAGGTATTTGCAAATATTCGTACTAAACACATACATCCAAATTAACTATTATTTGCATAACCGAAATAAATTTTTGTTAAATGCAAATTTATTTACTGAAAAATTTTTTAAAATTTTGTTTTTTGATTTTTTTACAACTTATGCTCCGAATTCTGCAAACAGTATCACGAAAATATATTTTATTTTGTTTTTCTGTTTGTTCATTAGTGTATAAGGTCACAATATTATGACGTTTTGACGTTTATCTTCAATATTATGTCAAAAAATATATGACGTATACGCATGAATTAAAATAAGAAACGTAATTACTAAATTGTTTTTGTCAAAAATCAAAAAACAAAACAAATTGATAACCTAAACTTAGTTAATATTTTTTTTTCTCTCTTTTTCTTTTCTTTTCTCTCCAACTTACCATATATGTCTGAAGCACTGAGAATTTCATTGAAGCCGTTTAATAACACAAATAATTGCAATAAAAATATTCCAATATTTCTCTTTAAGGTTGACATTTTCTTATTTTTTTTCTGGTGTTCTACAGTCAATTATTTCCGATAATTTTACTTTTAAATTTTGATTTCTATATAATTTTTATAATATGACTTTACTTTTTAAATTTAATTCTGAAATAAAAATGAAAATTTATAATTTTTATTAATAACGCTTTGAATATTTTTTAAAGCTTATTAGGAAATTGTGATTTAAACACTGTGATTGATTAAAATTTTTTTAATTATTCTAAATTTATTATTCAAACAACACAACAGGTTTTTCTTTCTTATTCTTTAAAACTTTATGATTGAAAATTTTTAATTATTGAAAATGACTAACTTTACAATACCACGAGCTTATAGAATTACCATCTATACACAATAAATTTTTTTAGTATTTAAACACCGTGATTTATTATTTTAATTTCAAAATTACTTGAATATTTCATTTGAAATTCTTAGAGTTTATTACTAAAAATAAAAACTGGTTAATAATGTAATGCAAAAATATAATTTACCGCAATGAGAAACGTTCTTTTTTAATGAAATTAGAAAATAAAAGTTTTCATTGTTTTAAGTAAAAAACTTGTTTTTTTTTTTCTATATTTATTTCGAATTCGAATAGCTGATTTTCAGAAGATTAAAAATTAGAAATGAATCACTTAGTTTTTTTTATAACTAATTTTATGTATGAAATTTAATATTCGCGAATTAATATTTTACCGATGATCTTAACAGTTGAAAGTTTCTCTCTAAACTGAGCTTATACAATCCGTGTATGTGACGGATATTTCAAGACAACGACTCAAAAATTTATTAATGATTATATCTGATTCGATGGGTTTTTCTTATTCTTTTGTTTTTTTTTTTTTGTTTCAATTTGAATTTTTTTCTTGTAAAATAAAAATTAACATAAAATGTTGCTTGAAAATTTTGATTTTCTCATATTTATATTTATGTGTACTTATGTAAATAAAATAAATTCCAAAAATATTAAATATTTTGTTCAGACAGACAGAGTTGAAGTAATAGGAAGAAGGTGTGCTATAGTAAAAAAATTCAATAAAATTCCCATACATATATAGGGTATCGTCATATTAATTTAATTAGTTACCAATAAGCTAGACTAAATATTAAGTATGTTGTTAGTTATTCGTTATTTGCCTTGTATTTAGCTAAAAAAATATCGAAGATAATTTGACATTCACAACTTTATACGTTTTTTATTCAAGTTTTTCATTAAATTTATTAAGTTTTTAGTAAAAATGAAATTTGACTCTGATTTTCTGATAATATCGAAAAATAAATAAGATCCGTATATATAAGAAAAGGTGTGATAAAGTTTAATATAAATGTTATAACGTTCGAAATATTGAGTTTGTCCAAATATTTGAACTGACGCCTATTATATTCAAGTGAAAAATTAAATATCTTTATTGTTCGGTGTATATACGGTTCAATGGCAATTAAGTAGCCTAAAGCATAATATAATAAACTATACTACAAATTTTTCTTAATATGGTTTTAAAAAAGGATAAAATTAATTTTTAAAATGTCACAGTTACAAAAGCTGCGTCATATACAGTATATATATATAATAGTATATACGCTATATAATAGTATACTATTAAACCGCAGTTCTATGTGTCCCCTATATGTAAATGATATTGCATATGAATTTTGTTAAAAAGTGAAGAAGGAAAAGGGACAAAGTCAGAATTTTATAGGATGCTACTTGTACCTTTTGCTTGTAAGTATTTGCAAAGACCGATTACTTTTTCATAATGAATATCAAGAATTCTTTCAATTTGCAAATGGCCCTGAACCAACTCGCTTAAGATAAAACTAAGTTCTATATTCAAAAGTCAATGAAATATTTTACATATTTTACACTCTCAGCTCTTATTTTATATTTTACAACTCTTTTTTTTTTACAGGGAAAAGAGTTTAAGTAAATTGCGAAGGATTTATGTTAACATTACAAGAGATTTAAAGAGAACGTTCTTTACAAGATAAAAAATTCAACTTAGCGTCAATTCTCTCAATTTATTTTAAAAATTGAGTCATAGTGGTTTTTTTTTAATTCAAATAAAATCGAAAGATTTTTTTTATTTTTGGGTAAATTCACTCTTTAACGGTGACGAAATTATTTTATTTTAATTCGTCAACTTATAAATTATTTAAAACTAATATAAAATCATTTATTTCAAATTTATTGTTCTTTGAGTAGAAATTTGAAAAAGATTCGAACATATTCGCCGACTATAATTCTTAATTTTTAATAAATCACATACTTAATTGTTATACAAATATTTCAGTTTTCCCATGGACGCATTTATAACATCAAGAGAATAACATTTCTGAATATTTCCAAATTTAATTACATAATTTAATTCTCTTTTGACGTCATAGCTTTATTTATAACATTTTTAATTTTAGTTTTTTTCTTTAAATAATTCTCTACTAACTTGTTTATCTTCTGCTAGAGCTTTTCTTCAATGTCTTACTTTGATTTTTTGATTTATATCTGTGACAAGCAAATAACTGTTAATATAGTGGTTAATTACATTTTACCGACCGCATTGCATACAATAAGAGAATTTTATGTTGTTTCTGTTCTATAGTCTGCAATTATAAGACGTATACAGAGTTGCAGAGTGTAATACAAAAATAGTTTTTGTTTTTAGTTTTTTTATTGATTTTATACAATGTATTAAAAAATATTATTGAGAGTAAACTGATATAAGCTGCCTCTTGATATAAGCTGTCAATTTCCGATATATTTCACAGGAATTTTTGAAAATGTTTTATCTAGACTCCCTATTTGAGTGTTTTTGAAAAACTGTTCTCATGTAAGCTATAGTTTGTCTTTACGTATATGATTTGTATTGTTATAAATTACCCTAATTTTTTTAGCTTTTATTGTCTCTTAGTTTTTAAATCCTAATTTAAACAGAAATTTGAAAAATAGAGGAAGTAAGTCTGACAATAAAAGTAGAGATTGGTATAGGTATTATAATTCCAACTTTAATAATAACCCATGGTAACTATCTCTAAGCCGGTTTTATTAGGATACTTTAAGAAAAATTTCTAATGGTTAATAATAATAAGAAATATAGAACGTTTAAAAAATTTCAACCGAATTTCAGTAGACCTAATAAACTAATACAGCATAATTGCAATAATTACACATTTTTCTTGATTTCTTGAAAACCTCTCCATAAGAATCCTTGGTGACAATCAGACATAAAGTCTCTTTAATTTTATCTTTGTAGATATTTTAGTAAACTTTCAAAGTTGCGATCCCATACTACTTCATATAAATTCAAGCCCTGGAAAATAAAACAGTGATACAATCGTAATTAAAGCAGCTAACAAAATTTATTGGTTTCTCCCAATCCCTGGTTATTTGACTTTATCTTAACTCAAAATTTTATTTGGTATGAATTTATTAGGCTAAACGTATATAAGTAATAAATTGAAGTTAGTATTACAATTTTATTCAGCCTTGATAACCTTTAGAAAATTTTGTAAAGCTTGCGTTAAATTTTGAAAAAAATATGATCGCGGTAGAATTCATTATGCCGCCAATTGATATTCACCATACGTAGAATTTTTTTTCTTTACTTTGCATACATGTCACTCGGCAGAAATTTTAATTAATTTTTTAAAAAAATTTCTCGGAATCTGGGACCTTGAAAACTGCTGTTCAATAAAGCTGTCGAAAAAATTTTAGAGGTTTTTGAATCCTTTTCAACGATATGCCGCATAATCATATTAAGTCAGTTTTTTTTTAACTCCCACCCCGATCCTGCACAGGTGGTATGTTATTATCAATGTAAGATGCCTGTATAGTTGATTTAGTTGTTTAAAGTTGTTCTCACAATAAATGAAAATATTTGCGGTCTAATTGAAGTCTATTCAGCTCTTTGCCAAAAAACATCTGAATTTTTTCTTTTAGGTAGGTCAATGCTTGGGAAAAGTGTCAATAATAAGTTTTCTTAAAGTTTATGTACATATATTCAAAATTTAGATTTATTTCCATAAGTTAAAATTTGCTTACAATACGGTTAATAAAAATTACATGTCATATATAAAAATACAATTAAAGAAAAAAATAAAATTACATATTTTATAAGTCTTAAATGAATTGCTATTTTTAATTGTGAAGCTCAAAATAATTTATTATGGCCACACTATTGACTCTATCCAATTTAAATAGTAAGCTACTCTAGTATATAGGCCTGGTGTATTAGTTCCACAAGACATTCCAAAACTAGTAATACCAATCACAGTAGCAACCTTTTTGTCATCTTCAATAAGTAATGGTCCACCAGAATCACCTTCACAGGTGTCAGACACTTCACTATACGCGCATATTTGGGAATTTGTAACTCCTCTAGGTATCGCAAAAACATTTTTGAATTCTGGTTTTGCAGCACATTTATTAAGTGGCACAGTTCTTACATTAGCTTTCTGTAAGAGATGAATCGTTTTTTGATCTGAAAAATATTAATGTAGTGCTTATAAATTTTTTTGAACAATTAAGTTGTATATTGCGAATTAAAACATTTACACTTTAAATCTGTTACTCCCCATCCTGTTATTACTAGTTTTTGTGTTTCACTTAAATCATCAATTTTTGTGTATAAACAAGCAGGATGTAAACCATTAGTAAATTTTACTGGTCGAGCCAATTTAAGAAGAGCAATATCATTATAAAATTCGACGCTCTTATAGGACTTATGCGTGATAATATTCTAAATTAAAACTTTATTAAATATATAAAGAAAATAAAATGAATGCATGTAATAGTTACCTGTATTCGAACATCAGTAGGTGAATAATTATCTGTATCATCATCTTTTATGTTATTTCTACCCATACGAGCAATTACTGGTTTAGAAGATGGCTCGATACAATGAGCAGCAGTTAACACATAACTATAATATTACAAATTAAATTGCAATTTCACTTAAATAATAAAGACATACAAATTTTTCGTACCTATCTGATATTAATGTTCCTGCACAACGAAATTCATAGGAACCCACTCCATACCCAAGTGCAACCATGTGAGGAAATTCAGCAACATCAGCTTTTTGTCGAAGCCCAACTATATAATTTCTTATAACTTGACTAGGAAACGAATTAACATAATTATCACAAGCTGAAATAAAACAAAATATACAGTTTTAGACTTTTCTATTTGTCAATTATTTTTGTTTTGTTAAAAACAAATTGAAATGAAACTAGAAAACTTACCTATTTCTGCTGGTCTTTTTTTTATGGTTTCTGTTCTGCTTAACATTCGGCTTGTCATTCCGTTTGCAAGTCTTGGGTTTTCAGTAGATCGTGTCATTGTGCTTCCAGTGTTTAATGACACTGCTTGATTGCCGTACATTGTTTTAAAATATTGTCTGTCTCTAGCTTTCTCCAAGCGATCATCGTTACTAAAATATGAAAATCACATTTTAATTGGCCTGCTTTTTAGGGAAATATTTTTGAACTAGAATACGGTTTTGGTAGAAATTTATAAAATTTAACTTTAAAAAACTATTCCTAAAAGCGAATTCTATATTCTGAAACATATTAGTAGGAAAATATTTCTCCCAATTTTTGGAATTGAATTTTGTTCGTGATGAGAATTAATTGGTTAACCCTTAGGATATTCATTAAAATTATTCAAAAAATTACATAACGCTGTTCTTTGTTGACTCAGCAGATTCTTTTAAGTGTATTTTCTATTTTAGTAAAAATTTTAGTTTTCTTAGTAACCATAACGTTGCGAAATTCCATACTGCCAAATTTGTAAACAATCAGCTGTACTCATTAATAATAGACAATAGAAATTGGTTGATTTTGCATAAAAATGTTAATGTGATTTCAAATATTGTGGCAAAAACGTTTCCAGTAAGCAAATTAAATATTGGATGTATCATGAATCATGACATTGAATTCGTGTTACAAAATTTTTGCAACGTATCTTTTTTGAGCATTGGAATTTGTAAATAACAAAAGAAGAAAGTCATTCGAAATAGAGCCGGTAATTTACATAAGTGTTATCAACTGAAAAGTTGGAATTGCAATGCCATTGCAGTTGTTAAAATTTAACAGTTAATAACGTATAAAAGAGAACCTAATCTACATATTTTGTAAATATTTTTGATAGGGTATAAGCCACTTATCTTTTATTTCAGTTCATTTATTTAGGCGTAGAAGAAACGTGTTTGTAATATTAACGAAGGTTGTATGCTAGTTTCAAATCTAAAATTCAGAGTTTAAAAATTGAACATTTTTAGTGAAAATATTTAAAAGTCTTTTAATAATTGTATGAGATCTTAAGCCTTTAAATATTTTCGAATGCTCAATGAGTAAAATTAAAAATTTTGATTTAGTTAAAAAATTAAAAAGTAAAGTCCGAAAAGTTTATAGCTCGTAAGAAGTTTACAGAAGAAGTGCAAGTAATTTTACTGGTAAAGTACAAATTTAAGAAAATACCAAGAAACGGCAACGAGAAAGAAATTCGTGTTTGAAGCTTCAATCATGTTTTAAAATCAGCGTAGAAGCGATATAGAAGTCCTTAAAATTAGTAAGTTCAAGAAGATATTCCTTAATTTTATTCCATTTATACTAACATCTAGAATATTTCGCAATATAATTAACCGAAATCAGAATCTGATTGAAACTTCACTATTATTTTGGTTATTATCAAATTCAAAAGAATAAAAGATTGGCCACACAAACATAAAACTCAAATAAAAATCGACTCACACTCTCATTCTTTGCTCTTTTTGTATAAGTTCAAGATTATCTGATACTGATTTCAGGAGCATATTAAATAATGATATTTTCCATGAAAGAATTCTGAAACGGTATTTATAAAAATTGAATTACTTACTAGAATAACTTTGAAGATATTGAACTCAATTAGTTTTAAATATGCTTGGAAAATTAGTCTTTTATTTAAGAAAATATATAAGATACTCGTAAGTATACTGCTTCTTCCCTTTTTCTTAATTCATCTTAATTGTACCAAACCAATGGTTATATTACAATGAAAATATTAAAATCTAAATTGTAAGAGTAAAGAATAATATCTAAATTTACTGCTATACAAGTAAGTTATTTTGTGTAATAAAGCTCTGCGTACTTTTCTTTATACATTTTGGCTATAATTACAAAGTGCTGACATTATTTTTGAAATGAGTGCATTAATTTTATTTAAGTTTAGTATATGGTGTTCTGCTATCAATTAAAAAAAAAACACTTACGGAAATACTACACGACGTTTTTTCCTCTGATAGTTTTCGTATTGAGATCCAATTGTTGTACTCTTTTCCTTTAATTGGGAATAGTTATCCGTGCAACATACAACTATTTTACCATCTTTAGATGAACATAATTCATTATCAGTTAAATTTCCATTACTTATATAAAGATTATTTAAAGTTGGACAATTTTCTATATATATACATATTCCAGGGGCTCCATTTCGTTGACAGTTATTATGTTCTGGAATCACAATAAAAATAAAAATTAAAAATATTAAAATATTTAACAACTAAGGTGGATTGCAAAAAAAATAATAAAGAAAATGCAAAATTATCAGGGTAAAGCTTGGATATTACGTGAATTTGCGTCGTATTTTCCTAATTTTTTAGATACAAAGATAATTGAGTACCCTGAGCAAGATAATCACTAACGTAATTACAGCATTGAAATAAAAAATTTATTAATTTCTTGAATTCACCTATATCATACAGATATTATACGATGTTTTTAACGTTGGTACAATCCAGAGAACTTTTATAAATCGCACATTTAATCATCGCGGCTCCGGAAGCGACGGTTTAAGTAATTACAAGTGTAGATATTACCTTGTTTGTGAGTGATCGGGAAGTGTTAAGAAAGAAGAAATGATGAATCCGAATATTGATTTTGAGTTAGATGCACCGCTATGAATATTAGTTTAACATGTAGCATTAATAAGGTATGCTATTCAATCTTCTCATCTAAACGTCCATGGAGAATTTTTGTGGAATATATAAATAAAATTTAAATACTCGTATGTATACTCTATGAGGGAGTATGTTTTTCTTTTGCATATTTTTTTTAAGGGGCAAATATCATTTCCATATTTCGTTTTTAAACATTAATAATGGTCATTAAATTATAAAATGCTTGGGTCATGCTTAATATTATAAAATTCTCGAGGCTGAAAATCTTCAATTATTTATACATATACGTATGTAATATTTATTTTCGATAATAAATAATAAATTATATATTCTAAATGACACTGAGTTTCCTGTTTCAATTTTTATTGGATTTTATGTTAATTATTTAAAAAATAGCGCGTGTGTATGTTTAATATAGACATGTGCTCATTTATGAAGGCGCGCGTTAAATACAACAACTGTAATGATTTTCCGGCTTTTTTTCCAATTATTCATGAGTTTTCGTACAATTTTTTTTATATAATTAAAAACTTGTCTTATGCAAAAATTAAATTATCGCGTAAAATTTTAAACGAATTTGAAATTTCAAGACCAAAAATCAGTAATTTTATAAATTAGAATAATGAGTAAAACTAAATTATAATAAAATTCAAACAACATACTGTAAACTTCTTCTAAATTGCATTTTTATAAAATTTTAATTTAATTTTCGAAATCTGATTAAAAAATTAATTACAATTACTGCTTGAATGTAAAATTGTTGCAGCACAATTAAAATATACACAATTAAAATATTGCGTCAATTCTAATCGAGTATAGTAACTAAAAATTGCGAATTTGTTAAAAAAATAAAAACTGTTTAATTCCTAAATTGAATGCGACCACACAGGTGTGAGCGCTTGAATGTAAACCTATAGAATACAAATAAGCAATCAAACAGTTGCAAAACTAAAAAATTGATAATCTGCGTCAGCCCTTAATGCTATTAATTATAAAATTTTCTTATTTGACGAAATCTCTTCATTATATTCTATTAGAACTGTTATTCTATTTCAAAACACGGTTTAACTCAAATTTTATTATAATTTTAGTTAAATATAAATTAAACACTACATTCCGAAGATTTTAGGCCGGTAATTAAAACAGTATCTAGCATAAATCGAAAAGATTAATTACTGTAGCAAATATAATTGAAATTTTTTAAAAATTTTAAAATATAGAAATGTTCATCTTCAGTTTGTAATTAGTTAATAATTTCTATAAAAACTCAATTTTCCAATAGAAAGCAGATTTCGAATTCGAATATAGAAAAACAATAGACACAGAAAAACATAATTTAGAACAAGAATTTCTACAAGATCATTTTAGAAATTCGTGTTAATTAAATGCAAATCAATTTAGACTATAAATACGAGTATTGTATGTACATGTTTTCGAAAAATATGAATTTTTCGGCCAAATTCATTAGCGTGTTACTTAAAATTTGGGAACTCAATATTTAATAATTAATTATATTACATATAATAAATTAGACAAATTTTACAATACAATCATTCGAAAATGTAATTTTAATTATTCATACCGTTAATGTTATTAAAATATTATTTCGAAATACAATAGCAGCTATTTTAATCTTTGCTATAAATTATGATGACAAAAGGAAGCGTAACGTGTCTCTTGTGCTTAAATTATTAATTTTTCAATGTAATTATATTGTAAATTATTAATCATAATCATTTAATAAAAAATATATAATTTTACTAATATTCTATTCTAAACACTTACCATAATTTAATATATCGTATTTACAATAAATTATATTGAAATTATTAAATAATACCAGTAATTGTAAGAATAAAATGTTAAAATATGCCTTCAAGGTTAACATTTTTTTTAATTTTTTTGAAAAGCTTTGAATGGTGTTTTTCTTTCAATTTATTTTTTTTTCGAAATTTTGTTTACACAATAACAAAATTATTGTTTTCGAACAATAAGAAAACAAAATAAAAATTTATAAATTAGTATCGTGTCTGCAGTAATAAAATAATAAATATGTCAAATTATGTTCTACAGGTGTAATTAAAAAAAAAAAAAAAAACAAAACTAGTCAACCCCAAAAAAAATAACAAAACTTGAGATTCTAAAAAATTTCAAGGAAGTTATTAAAAATCGATGATACTATCATAGAACTTTTTTTAGGTGATTACTTCTAAAACAGTATTTCTAAAAATACGAATGAAAACGTGAATTTCTTTTCTTTGTTTACTTATTGGCACGTGTACTCAGGTAAAAATGTAAATGTTATGTGTTCCTTTAATTCTTTTTTAATTTTCAGTTTACAATTCCGTTTGATTACGAAATTAATTTTAATTTGGTGTGATTATGAAATTAATTGCGAAATTATTTTTAAATTAAATTTGTTTAATTAATTTATTTAATTGTCATTTAATTTTGCAAATTATTTTATTTAAATTTTATTTCATTAAAATTAAATATTTTTTTCACAAGTTTTTATTTTAAAAAAAATTTGAATTTAACGCAAATAATTTTCAGTACAATGTAATTTTTTCTTATTACTGGCTCGTAATGCAATTATTAATTAAATTTGTATAAATATTTTTAATATTCTTATTAAAAATTCTTTTAAATAATAATATACAAACACACTCCTTAATATTATACGCCGTCAATTCATTTCTATTTCGAAATTTTTATAAGAATTTAATTTCAAAATGAACTGAACAACTTGACGTATCTCTTCAAACTAAACTTAAATCATTGATATTTCTATTTTATCTTATTTTAACTTGATCCCAAAAACAGAGTTTTTGTATTTATGGTTTTCTCATTTTTATTATTTTTTGTTTTTGTTTTTTAATTTTTAAGTTTATTTTGTTTCATTTCTCAAGTTTTAAATTCTCTTACAAGTGAATGAAATTCTTAATATGTGAGGTGCTTTGTGATAGAGAAAAAAGAATTCTTTTTTTTAGTTTTCCAAGTTTGTTTTAGTGGTCTCGTATAAAGAAAAACCTAAAATTTTATATTGTTATATTATATAGAATAACTGTTATACTTTTACATTTTAATATTCAATAAAAAATGAAAACAAAAAAAATAAATATGGAAATTCCGTATAATACTAACAAAAAAAAAATTAATATGTAAAACAATTTCGGAATTTCAAGCAAAAAATTTTTCTTTTTAAAGGAATAATTAATTTGAGGAAAAGGAGAAGTTAAACTAAAATGAAGTTTTTTTTGTTTTTTTTTTTTTTGTAGTGTGCCGTACTAGAATTTCATAATTTGTTGATTACTTAATTTTTTTAAATTTAAAATACCAAAAATTTATAATCATATAGAAGATCAATTTTCGGAAATACATCATACGTGGTCTTTCCGGAAAAGAATTTCCAAGTAAATTTCAAAAATTTAATTATGTGCAAAAATTCCTTTTCTAAATTTATGATACTAATTCTTCTTGTATTATGAAATTTTTATGTTTTTTTCTTGATTTTAATTCCAAATAATTCTTTTAAAATATTTTCGATTTAAATCAATGTTTTCTTGAAAATAAAGATCCCACTCAATGACATTTGAACGACAACTTAAAAAAACATTTTTTATAAAAAAAATGGGAAACGGTATTATGATAAACCAGGGTTCTCATATATATTTTAGTAGAAATATTGCCTCGCTATATTAAACATGTTCTATATAGCTTATTGACGTAGTTTATAAAATGATAACATTGTAGCTTATATCAAGATTATTCAACTATAAGTAAATTACCCTTCAAGTTAGCGTGAATTATATATCACGGAATAGTATAGTTTCATTACGAAACTCATATAGTTTTAATAGCTCGAAAATGATCGTCGTTAAGTAAAACCATGAAATTCTTAGTATATTGTGAAAATTTGGTTATTTTAGCTTAATCGATGCAAAATTTGAAATTGATCGAAAATATTTATGCATATTTACTGTACATGCCTACATCTCAGACGTGTATAAGAAGCTCTGTTTTAGCTCGAAAGATCATAGATTGGCTGACAAATAGAACTCAAGAAATTCGGTAAATAATTTAGTCAAATATGATTGGATTCTAAAAAACTTACAATTTCTGGTCTTGTTTCCAATGCATAAAATTTCGAGAAAAATATTTTTTTTAATTATTATGTTAAATATGAAATTTCGTGAAAACACCTTCATTAGAATATGAGATACGGGAGACTTATACATGTTGTCAAATATTTCGCTAAAAATCTTTAATTCGTGCTTCTCTAACATTAAAGAGTGCATTTTCGCTGATTATTCGAAGTGCGTGATTTGGTACGATTTTTAAAAAAATTATTGTTTTCAACATTATAATTGCTTACAAAAGGCATTCAAAAAGGTCATAGCACCATATCTTCCATAGAGTGTAACAGTAGTAGTGGTAGTAAGAGTAGAAGCACCGCCCCTCGTGATTGTTCAGAGGAACAACAAGACCAACAAGAGGAACATTGGCAACCCTTCACAACACATTATTTCTGTCTGAAATCACCCGACTGGCTTAATGAAATCCAACAGGTTTTCCACAGACATGCTCGGCAACTCTTCTAGATCCCACATATTTCCTTCTCCTTCACATAAGACGAGACCACTCACAGAAATGATATGATATCTAATATCTTGGTCATTTTCCTCTGTAGATGTTCCTCCTATTCAAATCCAATATTCGCCTGTAGTCCCTTGGTTGTACCTAACCAAACTTCAAGGAGCTTAACATTTCTTCATTAGAAGCAGGAGTATTTTCTTGTAAAATGAGTATGTAAAATACTTTAATCAGTGCTCGACTTACATGATATTGTGAAATGGGTACTTATTATAGCTTAAAATCATTTAACAAACTTTGAGTAGGTGTAGAACTAATCTCTATTCCCAACAGTTCAGAAAAGTTATTGTTGTGTAATTAAGTTTTTTAGTCAATTAAAAAAATTACATTATAAATTATTTCTTTGCTTTTTTTATGAACTTTTACGCAAATGAAATGTTTTTTTTAAAGATGAGTAGAGTCTGACGCTTTTATGACGGATTTTCCATGAACTATGAATAAAAATTTGCGTCATTCACTACAATCATTTCGAAATTTTTAAACGTTTCGTCAGTATTTCAAAACTTTGTTAAACCATTTTTTTTTTACGCAATTGCAAAGTGAAAAAATAGTGTTGATTTCATTTATTAATGAAATATGTTCCTTAAAATATAAACTGGAAACTTTTATAATATTTAAGTTGGTCAGTGCCAATAAATTATTGTTGAGTAGCGTATAATATACATAAGTATATAAGCATGGTATTGTAACTGTTATATTGTGGTAATAAATTCGTGTTATAACACTGTAATTGTAATTTCTTGATAAAATGCAACAGAATAAGTAAACAGGCCTTATACTTACCACGAAATTTTAAAAGGATTGTCTTAGACACTGTAAATACTTGAACGAAAAGTGTTTGCTTTAAAGATAAATTTTCTGCAACAATTGATGTATAATGCTGATTTGACCAACTTAATAGAAAAAATATTTTACAAAACCGCTAGTTTTTTCTACAAGTATCACCAAAATGCAAGCTCACAATATGTCGTAAGGCATATCGTCGGTATTATGGAAGAGTAACGGATACATAAAAACTAAAAAATTCCTTAACTATATTTGTAAAATACCCTCGTAACTCTGACGTTAGTATTTTCAGAAAAATAACGTTCTAAATTTTAAACGTCTCTGCAAATTGACATTATTGTGTATTTTCAAATGCTTTTTTTTTCGAAACATAAAAAAGCAGTTTCATGACTCTTCCATAATACCGACGATATCATTCTTCCATAAAAAAAAATTTTCACACCTTTTCCTACAACCAACAAGTGTGATTGTGGTCTACATATAACCGCCCACAAGGTGTAATGTCTAGTTTAGAGAAACTGCTGCACAAGAATTTATAAACGCCCTTTAAACAATTCTTACTAATTCTAAGGACGCTAGTAAACTCTTAGTTAACATACCTGGAAAAATAAAAATTCGACTCTGAACTTCACTTCAAATTTAAAATATTCTCGGCCTTTAAAATGCAATAATACGGTTTTAGAGCACAATTTAGTAATTCACACACATAAGTTCAATTGGACATTAACACCATTATTGCTTTTTAAGTCTATAGGAATTTTAAAGTCCGATGTATGTTACATACGTACCTTCTTGGTACTTGTTGCAATTGAGCGCCTAAACAAGAATACTGCATTGAATTTTTTGAATTTAAACATTTTAATGACGTCACGCTTTATTACTGTATAGCAAAAAATTTAATTTAGAAAGTAAAAACTTTTAACATTTTGTTACGGGCAACTTTCGAAAACCTTGTAGTATTAGAAAATCACAATTTCAAGTTTTTTTTGGCAGATTTTGTTTAACATTTTTGATTAAGAATAAGAAAACTAAATGGAGTTCATGTAATGTTTTTGTAATATAAAAGTTGATCGCGATGCTTTCTTGTACATATATAAAATAACCTACCTTATTGTATACAGAATGCGGTCCGTAAAAATTAAATAATTGCAAATTTTAACATTGCCATTTTGCAAGATTACTACTTGACTATTAAAAGATACACTAATCAAACGCTAAAATCTAGGTCACTTAATTTTAATGTCTAATAAACATTCGTTTTGCTCCCAATTTAAAAGAGAAACATAATTACATTACTCTATAGACTTGATAAATTATATATGTACGTGTTTATTATAAATAGGCATATAAATGCGAGTAGTTAACTTAAAGATTAGAGCCGCAAGCTTTGAATTATTAAAAAGAAATTGAACTGAGAAATAAACTCTCTAAATATAGTGCAGACTTCATGGTTCGGCACATGCAATTTCTAATTTTGTAATTATTGCTCAATTGAAAATTTATAACGTACGCATATTTATAAGCAATTAAACTACTGCGTCAACACAATTTCCTTCTGCGTTTTATGTAATTTTCCTGATTTATAGTCAAAATACATGGGCATCTGAGAATGGGTTCTTCATTCTTACTCAAAGACAAAATTTTCTAAATTCTTTCAATTCCAAAAATGATTTGTTTTACTAAGAATTTTATAAAAAATAAATCTAATAAGAGTTTAATGAAATTATAAAAAACTAAAGCAAGTAATGACATCCATTCAATAATTTAGCAAATGAACAAAAAACAATAATTTTAAAATCTTATAATATAAAAATTACATTAAAAAAAATTTCTTATAATTTTAATAAAAGCTATGAATTCTGTAGCGTTGGCCACACTATTGATTCTATCCAATCTAAATAGCTGGCTACTCTAGTATACACTCCGGGAATTTCCGTGGCACATGATATTCCAAAACTTGTAATACCAATTATAGTTGACACTCTCTCATCATTTGCAATGAGTAATGGTCCACCAGAATCACCTTGACAAGTATCAGCTGTGTCATCATTTGCACATAATTGAGAATTAAGTAAACCCCTTAACAGTCTTCTATCGTTCGTTAATGCTGAAATTGTTGAACATTTTTCAAATGGCACAGTTCGAACGGTAGCTTTCTGTAAAAAATCGCTTTTTGCTCGTGCTAAAATAAAATTTTTTAAAAATTCGGTAAAATTTTAATTACTCGTTTTTAAAATTTGCAATTTCTAACTTACTGCTAATATTAGTTGTACCCCATCCAGCGATTGTTAAATTCATGGCTTCATTTAAGTCCTCTGTTTTTGTATACAAACATGCAGGATGCAAACCAGATTGAAAAGTAACTGGTCGCGATAATTTAATTAGAGCAATATCATTGTAGCTCTCTGATGATCTATACCTTCTGTGCAATGTAACATTCTAAAATTATTATATGACAGTTATTTATAGTGAGTATAATAGTAAGTGAACAATATACCTCAATTGTGACATCAGTTGGAGCAAGATCATCGGGATCATCTTCTTTAATATTATTTCTGCCCATACGTACCATTACTGGTTGATTAGTGCGACTACTGACACAATGTCCAGCAGTTAATACGTATCTTAAATGGAAAAAAATAAATGTCAATTTTAATTACATAACGCATAGTTACGTTTTACATATTTATAAATTATTTTATTTTTTACCTATCAGAGATTAATGAGCCTGCACAGTCCCACGTCAATTCACCAGTTCCATAACCGAGAGCAGCCATATGAGGATATTCACCAATTTCAGCTGCTTTACCGCCAATTATTTTCTGACCAAGTGTTTTTCCAGGAAATTCTTTTTTGAAACCATCACACGCTGAAACATTAAAAATATAAAAAACATTATTATTAAAAGGATTACAACGCTTCCTAGAGTATAATTTTCTTCTAGTTCCTAACTAGAACCGTAATTTTGGTAATAATGATAACAAAGTTTTTGATCATTTGATTATTGTTAACTTGTTAGCGTTCTTGCGTTTCATATTTTGCTTAGAAATTCAATTTAATCTTTGTTTAATAATCGTTATTCTAATTATACGAGTATGACCCTAATTTTTCTGGTTAAAATCCTGTTTCACAGCTTGTGTATTACAAAGTTGGTTCTCGACTATACAACCAGATCATATATGAATCATTATTATTATGACAGAACTCAAAGGACAATTGAAACTCTCATTGACAATCACTTGACGTATTCAATTTGAAATATTTATGAATATTATTTAACTTTATTAAATTATTTTTTTAAAAATCATCTCTACTAATCAAGCTCTCTTGTATAGCACTAATTTTGACAAAATTATTGCAATCCGAAATTTCTTCCTAATGCGAATAAAGATTTAACAATTTGCTACCAAAATATTTTAATGCAAAAAATTCACAAGAACTTGCTCTTTTTGTTTGAGTTTCTGACGTATTTTAAATTTATGTAACCAAGGCATGCTTAAATTTTTCCTCTCGTACAACTTAATCAATTTTTTATACACACCTTGAACAAATGTTTTTGTATACTTGTAAGTAGTTCTCAATCTTTTTCTAAATTTTCTTTGTATAGCAATTACTATGTGACGCTTCATGGCTCAAAAGATTTACATACGCTTCATAGATCAATAGATTTGATTGCTGGTTTCATTCACACTTAAACAGAAATGGTGCATCTTACAGTTTAGAATTTTAATACAGTTTAGTCAAATTATTCGGGTTTACGGATGGTGAACATTATTAAAAATGTTTAGTTTGTAATCTCGTAACAATAAAACATTTTAAATAAGAATTTTTTTAGTTATGTACGTTTTTAGGCGGTTTGAGCAAAATGGCTAAAAAAATTTAAGTAAACTACATTTAATAAATAAAAAAATTTCAGAGGGCTACCGTTTTTCTAACATTTTACAATCACTTCAGTCGACCATTTTGCATTTTGCTTTCAAATCAAATTCTCATTACCTTCTATTTCTTGAAATTTATGGGCAGGTTGTGGAAATTTTAAAGTATTCATTAAAATAAAACTGAACGGTTTCTAATGAATGAGCCACGGCAGACTTTAGATTTGTCCCCAACTTTTATTCTATATTTTTGTTTTTAATGCATATAAGATTTTCAAGTTTTCTAGACTTACTTCAATCTAACTTTAATTAAATTACTCGTTTTTAAAATTCATTTTCAAAAATATTGTTTCTGCAATTTAGGTGACGAGGCAAACCCATATTATTTTTGTGACATTCCATTATTACTTAACTTTCAATTTAATTTGTTAACCTGCTATATTTGTAACTCTGTTGTAATGACATTTTTAAGTCCTTATATTTAACAAGTTTAAAATTGTACAACTAATAACAATTTTTACCAATTTCACATGTAATTTAAATGATTTAATCTGATAATTTTACTTTGTAGTTTTGGCATCGCACATTTATTTGACACTGACAACGCTTCATTAAAAAAAACTTACCTACTTCTGTCGGCCTTTTAGAAATTCTATTTATGGTTTGTGGGCTTTCTGTACTAGTTTTCTTTTTTATTTCACTCAAATATGGATCATCGCTAAAAATAAGTAAAAAATTATCAAAAGGAAAAATAAAATCTAAGAACAAAGAACATTTATTTAAAATTTAATTGGCGCAGAATAATGTTTACATAACTGTTAATTAACTACGACTATTAAAATATTTAATCAGAAAACAATTGTGTCTAAGCACAAGTAAGTCATACTAGGATTTGATCATATTAACATATTTTCTATGGAAAATGGCAAACGCAACTAATTGCAGTTGCTAAAAGTACTGCAAATGAATACTTATAATATTTTCAATGACTAATTACTTCTGTTAAAACACCAGACTCAGATTTAGTATTATACGAAAATTATCAAAAAAACTTAGCAGAGAGGGGAAATATTTATTATTTATCAAAGAATCTTTTGAAAATTCAGATTAGTTTACAAAGTGAGGTAAACTTCACTTGTCTTCAAACTTTCCCTCATAACACTAGCCAAAATTGATACTTTTCCCTATTCTGCACCAATATTCAACATGAAATAAACACCACAACACCTTTCACTAGGACTTAAAAATAAAATTGCATGCATTAAAAAAAAAACAAAAGCAGATTTCCAAGCAGATAGTTACTTTTTGTATATGCCAATTAAGTATCTAAACAACAATAAGCCAATATCTCTAAAAATAAAGAATTTTTCTTTTTATAAAGCATGAGAAACAATAGTTCAATAGTTTTTGGAAAACGCTTTTATTAACATTTAATTAAAAAAAGAAGTGCTTTTATTTATTTTTAAAGCTCTCAAAATATACAACACTACACATGAACTCGTATAGATTAGCCTAAAACCTTTGAAAAACCCGTGATTGACGATTATTATTATTTATATTACTACTCCAACCAGGTTGTAATTGCACTATTTGTGCAGATGATGGTTGTGAAGATGATACAGAATTTAATAATGGTTTTAAAAATGGGTTATCTGGATTCAGTGATTGAGTCATAGCAGAAGTTAACTGTACTGCACCGTTATTTATATTACTTGGACCTGTTGCAACAGGAAAAGCAACAAAATCTTGATTAGAATTTCCGATTGGACGTCCTTGGTTGAATCCGTTACCATTCCATGTATGGTGTTCGGTTTGGAATTGCTGTGGATTGTTTGAAACAGCAGTGAAACCGGCGTTTGGTGCATTCCAATTTTGTTGTCTATTTTGTCGAAATCTAGAACCTGTACCTCTATTCCAATTAGGTTCTTCTTCTTCTATCACAACAACTGTTACCGGATCTGAGGGTCTTTTCCAATTTTGCTGGTGGTGTGGTTGCTGTATTGGTCTATTCCAATTTGGTTGCGGTGGTTGAACTAGTTGAGGTCGTTGTTGTTGATTAGGTGCATTCCAATTTTGCTGATTTAATCCATTATTCCAGTTTGATGGTCTAGCATTTGGATTTTGTGGTGCTGGCGGATCTTGAACAACCCAAACTGTTTGTAAATTATTGGAATTAGCAAGCCCGTTTGGTGTAACAGATGGTAATGGCGTCGTTGTTGTAGTTCGTTTTTTTGATAAATCTATAAAACCAATATCTGGTCTAGGTGTAGATGTCGTTGTTGTTGTTGGAGTTGATTTAGTTGTTACAGATTTATTTGATATTGCTTCGATCATCCATGGATCTAAGACTTGAGATTTTACAGTTGATGTTTCAATATTTCTTAAAGGATAATTTGTAATTGCTGATAATGGAGATACTGTTGTAGTAGTCTGCTGTTGTTTGTTAAAAATGTCTGTTAATATTGAATCTAAATCTCTTACAGGCCTTGCAGTTGTAGTTCGAAATTCGAATGCGGCAAATGGATCGTCCCCAGGTCTCCAGCCACTTCCAATTGTTGTAACCTCTTTTTCAATACCATTTCCATTTTCAGAACTATCAGAATTTTCTGCAATTGTTGCCGATGCTACTGTTGTATTAGTTGATCTATGATTAAAGTTATTATGCAAAACAAAATTTTTAATTCGATCGTCATTTGGAAAATAAAAATTACTACTAGAAGTTGATTTTTGTTTTGAATTTTCAATTTGACTTTTGCCAATTCTTTGAGTGTGTGTGCTTGTTTGTGTTATGTATGGATCTGATGAAGTATATGGGGATGATGTTACATTTAATTGATTGTTAAATAATAATTCAGTTAAATCAATAAATTCAACATTTTTTGGAACCGTGATATTTTTAAATTTATTAATTACGGGTGATGTTAATTTTGTATCTAATTGCTTTGGAGATTTTTTAACTCCACGACTTCTAAATTAACAAAAATATATGAAAGTATAAGAAAATAGAAGTTAAACAAATTAACTAAAAGCAGCTAGATGAAAATTAGTAGCAGTGCAAAAAAAAGCTTGATTATAAACTAAAGTAAATTAAGAGCATGCGTATAATTTTTGTTTTTTTGTTTTATTTTGCAAATTAATCATTAATACTCACGGGAAATAAACGTTAGGTCTTGTTGTACTGCCAGTGGAGGATGTATCGCTTTTTCTCGGTAATGCTGAAGGATCAATATCAGTACAACATGCAACATAATCATTACCATTAAAAGCACAATTTTCTAAGTCACTAAAAGTTATGGTTTTTGCAGAAAGTTCTTTGGTCAATGATTGGCAATTTTTTAATGAAACACACACTCCCCGTTTTCCTCTCCATTCACATTCGTCACCCTCTAAAAAATATATAAATTAGGATTATCAATTAAAAGTATAATTTTAAATATGTTCAAAAATAATTTTTATGAAACAATCGTAAAAATTATTCGGTTAAACAGAATCTTCGATTCCTTTTGTAATTGTATTCTTCATATTGTAGTTTTTCAATGCTCATTTGTGTTTACAGTTATTGTTTATGTGAATTTGTGTAATTGAGTTCTGCTTTTTGTAGATTATATCAGAGGCATAATTATTATAACAGGCATTTTCATCATGGAAATTAATGTTTTGAGAATTTGGGCTTCACTCGGTTCATTCAGATGACTTCAATTTTCTATTCATCCTAGTTTCAAATAAATTTTAATTTGAAATCTTCAAATTTTAAATAAATTTTTGTATTATAGTCCCAAATCATACTTTAGTGACTCATTTTTTGTTTTTCAGAATTATGTTTTACATTATTAAAAGTATCAATTCAAACTAAATAATTGTAATGTAATATTTTTACTTAAATGAATATTTTAAGTTTTACTAATTAATTCAAATTAATTCTATTAAGTTGATAACAAATATGAGCAATAAAGAGAACAAATCTTACAAAATCATCTAAAAAGTCCCAGTGTACCGATATTTCTGATAACAATTATTATTAAAAATATACACAAAACTATACATTGATAAGATTAACAATAATTGTGGTTTCCAATAAAAACCAAAAGCAACTTTCACATTAAATGCCCTATATTGCAAATATAGAATTATACAATTTTATTAATACTCGGTTATCACACTTAACCCTCGCTAACCTATATATAAAAAAAATGAGAATATAAAGCATGAATTCTCAATTTCTCATTATTTTTCTCTCAAATAAGAAAAGTTCTAAGAAAAGAATAAAATATATTTATTTTAATTTACGCCAAGGTTAATTAATTTTCAAAAAACTATAAATTGTGCGAGATTAAAGTATCATTTAAAAGAAAAAAATTAATAAATTCAATGCAATCAGGGTGGTGAGTAATGTAGGTCATTTACAGCTTTAATTGGAAAGTTTACATTTATTCCAAATATTTAATAAATATTTTCAAAAATTTCACATTTTCCGTACGCCGTAAGTAAATTTTATTATTTAATATAGGCACATACGAGTACTTCGAGAAATATGTCTTTGCATGTGTTTGGTGTTAGTATGTTTCAAAGAGTTTGTTCTTTTCCTTATACTTCGGTAAAAGAAAAATAATCGACTCATTCAAACCACAAACTATTTTGTACATCAAACACAATACGAACTTGTAAAAAACGAATCAAAGTTCTTGCTAACTTAAAGGCGTTCGTCATTTCTGACTAAGATTTAATGTTTTCAGTTTATTTGTTATAGAAGCACAAGCTTTTGTTTAACGATTTTGAATGATTAATTGCTGATGATCAGCTGGAAATGTCCAAAAAAAATAATGATTTCTTAAGTGCTCTTCATGCCGTTTAAAGTATTTGAAATTTTTTGAAACCTATAGATATTTTTTCCATTGTTTTATTATTGCTTTGGTGAAAAGATTCAAGATGTATTTGTAAAATATTCCATGACGAGATTCAAAATGGTGGAAATCAAATCACGATAAAACAAAAACTTTTTAATTGAATGCAAGGCTGCATAAAATTAGAATTCAACGAAAATTTTAAGTAGATTGCAGAATTTTTAATATGAAAAATAAAAAAATGCATGAAAATTTTAATTTCATAATTTTTAATTAATATATTTCAAAAGCCGTATCCAATTACGTGTAATAGAAATCACAATATCTAGCAGATTTTTAATGCATTATCTAAAATCAATTCAAATTTGTCTTACCAACAATATTACGTTGTGTATATATCGTAAATTATAGACTATTAACAAATTTTGGACTGAATTTTCAAAATTTATTTTCATTGTTGCTCTTCTTTATGTCCAAAACTAATTTGACTCGTGTCGTCATTTTGTGTCAACATGATTAAATAAAACCATAATATGTGTGCATACGTTGGTAGAAATCAAGTTTTATGTATAAACTAAAATAAATATCGTTGACTTTAATATTAAAAAAGGAAAAAAACAAGGCAAATGTAAATTTCAAAATATTTTACGATTCTTTAAAATTATTATAATTAAATTAATCTTTTCACACGTTTTTATAATTTTATTTATATTTAACCGCGCGCTAAATAAAGATTTGAATTTTTTTTTTTATTTACATTTTTACCTCGATTTCAGGTAGAATTTGACGTCATCGAACAAATTAAAAACATGTTTATGAAGAATTTGATGATTTTTTTATTTGCTCTTTCTTCTATTTGTTTTTTTAATTCGTGAAGCCAAAGTGTTTACTTTTAACTAATGGCTATATTAAATATAAATATGGCGAAAAAATTTTGAATAACATTCATGTAGCTAAACATCCGAATACATTCATAATTGAAATTAAGTCTAAAGTACAACCAGTATCCTTTTTTTGCAAGTTCATTGTGTCTGTGAAACCATTATACACAAATTTTAATCGCAATATTTTTTCAAAAAAAAAAATTATACTCGTATTATTATACTCAATAGTGAATGAACCTATCCCCTAAAATATAAAAACTACAGTTTTAAGATATTAAAGAGAGGGTTATATATGCTACTTTAAAAATTTTTACAAATTATCTTAGCGAAATTTTTTGTTATTTATATTGTAAGGTAGCAGAAAGGGCATTTTTACCTAATTCTCTCTTATTAAGACAAAGTTAAATAAAACTAAAGAGTTAAAAAAATTCTTGTTGTCAAGAAATAAAATTTATATTTACCTGTTCCAAGGCAAAACGTTAGGCTTTACAATTACAAAGACTGTAAACAGTTTATTTAAAAAACCAACTACTATCTATACGATATACAAAATATAATTCTAACTATTTTCAATAATTTACGCGTGAATATTGTACTAGATTTTCTCTTAGCATAAACAAATAGAAGTAATGCATTTTTTTTAGAACACAATGCAAAAACAAAACCAAACTGCACCAGAGGATTAGACAAATTGGAAATTTTTAGTTTTTTTAACACTGCGAATGCAATAAAATAACAAAAAAAAAGATTCAAAAATCAATGGTGTGTTCAGCACATAACCGACCGCAATTTTGTATTGCCTAGTTAAATGAAGTGTTATAGAAGATTATGAAAATACTTTTAAACCATTTCTTTTCAATTTTTAGGTCGTCAGTGAGCTTTTAGCTAACATACCAAGAAAAACATAAATTTAACCCTTAAAAGAGTTTTCCTTTGCGACACCCGAATTCACTTAAAAATTCGCCAGTTGGTTGCGGTAGCGAATTTCAAGAAATTAATTGATAAAAAAAGTAAATTCGGCCTCTAGTTCGATTTCCGAGCCCTAATCGTTCCAAAAATAATTTAAGTTAAACACCCTGAATTTAAATATTAAATTTTAAGTAAATTGGTTGAGTATTTCTCGTTACTTGAGGAAAAATGTATGATCGACCCGGAAAAAGGTTAAATTCCCAAAAACTGAAATATCTCAAAAGTTGATCAATCTGTAGCATAGCCAATCAGTTCAGCTAATTTTGAGATAAAAGCGTGCACACACTTTTAAATAGTTTATTTGCGCTTCCCTACCATGGAGATGTTCTGTTTCCACCGAAAGCTCGATATGCAAAATTTACAATACGTAAATAATAAGTAAAATTTCCAAAACAAACAGTAATTATTGTCATCTGAATCTAAGATTTTAATCTATTGCTCAAACATTTTTCAGCTGATCTACTATATTAACATCAAATTATTTACAAAAATCTTATTTATTTTAATATACACATACATATAAATATATGTAGAAGTACTTATTTGTGCATTCAATATAATACTGAACTAGCTAGGTTACCATAACAATGACTAAACTAAAGTCTAAAGAGTAGTTTTTGCCAAATACCTTGAAAAATATCTCAGAAACTTGATCAGGTGTTAATCTGAACTGCCTTACATTTACTTAATTTTTAAGATATTACTGTAAAGGTACGTACTGTCTACTTATTATAGATACTACTTCTTTAACAAAAAAATAAATAAATTATTTTATTGCATTTATTTACTTATAATGTATAGAATTTACATTATTTTATTGTAATTAATTTAATTTATTCAAATCTTAAACAATTATAGCAAAAACACGATTTTGATTTATGAAAAAATATAATAGAAAAAAAAACCACATAAGAAATTTGCAATTTTTAAAATTATAATCTCATATCTTTTAAATTTATTCACAGTACCTACATACTTATATTGGAAACCAACATGACAAAATGTCAGTGCATTCTTCAGTCTAATATAATTTTTTCCCTTTTGTAGATTTTACTAACATTTGCACGCACATATACATTTATTATATATTAAAAATTTTCAAAAATAACTTGTAATTCGTTAAAGTTGATCAATCATGCAATCTATCTTGTATGATAAACAATACATTCAAAAATAGTGCACGTAATCCATATTTAGTCGTGATCTTATTGACGCATCATTAAGTTATAAAATAAATCGAATGAATTGGGGGAAAAACATAACTAAATTCTACTACTTTTTCACTAGAACTCATTAAAGTAGACATTCATTTTAAGAGACTCAAAAAGAGTTCATGAACTTGAAGAAGTTCAATCAAAACAGAGGTACAAAAAAAAAATTCAAAATCAAAAGTGCAATAATTTTTTTTTTATTTTTAATTTTAAAACTTACCATACTGGTCACTACTACATAAAATTCCGCTATAGTTATTTAATGATATAAGCAATTGGAATAATAAAACACCAATAAATTTCCTTGAGGCGACCATATTATGTTTTTTTTTCCTTCTTATTTCTCTTGATTTTTTTTTAAGTTTTCACCTTTTGATAATTTTATGAACTTCTTTAATACCTATTTGTATACAAGTATTTAAAAAAAAAACATCAATTAAAAATATTTAAATTGTTTAAAATTAAAAAAAAAAAAACAAATTAAATTTAAATCTTGTTTACTGCCAACTAGCGTGTTTGATAAGTAAATAGACTTATGACCGACTACCACAATCAATTACTGTCCAGTTTTTAAAAACGAAAATACTCGTAGTGTACTTGTAGGTATGTGTATGTTATTTTACTCAGGTTTTATACCGTGATTTATTTACTAACTAACAATATACTTATTTATTTAATTAAAATGTGTAAAATAAAAAATTAAAAATAACTTTAAGCCCATAACCAACAAAAGCTTATTACAAATTTTGTTTTCTACTTAATTTTGGATTCTTAATTTTATTCAAAAAACGCTTTCTGTTTTGCTTTTTTTACAAATTTAAAATAAAATAATTCACACTCTTTTTTTTAGAATTTTAACCTTTTGGGTTTTCTTATAAAAATGACTCATTTTTTAATTCAAGTTGATATCGAATTAGTGAATTGAAAAAAAGAATAGCTTAATATACCGAAACTAATTTACAAGTTCACATTCACATAAACTTTAAATCCAAATTAATTAATACAATAAAATTCAGTTTTAGTAAATCGTAAATTGCAATAATTAACTATTCCAACCGTATTGTAATTAATAATTAATTCATAATTTACAAACTTAAATATTAAAAATTATTTTGTTAATTATAAAATCACTGATTTATAAAATTCTTATCGCATAAAAATAATTTTAAACGTAACACAACACAAAAATAAAAATTCCCAATAACAAATTAACTATATAGTTGACTAAATGAGGTCTACAACACAACAATTATACAAGAAGAGAGAAAATATTCAAAAATGAAAAACATAACAAACTCATAATTTAATATTGAATTACTTTTAAAACCAACAGCTGACCAAACCACCACGTATTATATTGAATTGCTGAATAAAAATAAAATTGAGCTATAAGCTCTCACATTATTTTCTCTCTATATTAATCACTTTATTTTTTTTTTAATTTTCTCTTTCTTCAGTTATTTTCTCTATTCTAATAATTATTTTAAAATTAATTTGTAAGATAATTAATAGGTATGTAGGTATTTTATATAGGTACAATATTTTTTTTTTAATTGATCGCGAGAACGATCTTTATTCTTTAAAGTATCTCTTAAAACTGAGCTTCAAATCGTTGATGCTTTTAGATAATATTCTTAAATGACCGGTCCAGTGAGTTTTTATTTTTTTTTTTGCTCATTCTGTTTCTGTTTCTTTTTGTTTGTTTTGTTTTCTGTTTGTTATTTATTTTGTTATGAATTTTGATTATATTGTAACTGAGATTCTTTCTTTAGTTATCACTGGTATTAATAAATATTGTTAACGTGAAAAAAAAAATAAAAAATTTTCTGAATTGAATTCGAAAATTGTTTTTCCAGTCATTCTTATATTGCAGACAACTCGAAATATTTTGCAGATTTCTGGTAAAGTAGTGCTTGTGTAATGTATTAATTAATCTAACGAGCATATCTTTGCGACTTACGCCGCATTTCGTTATTGGTCCAGATTTTCCAGCGGCATCTTTTATAGACTGCATTAAGTTAGTGAAATAACGAATAAGTTTAGAAAACAGTTAGCCTTTGTTTTGCCTTCCGATCCGGTAAATTGTAGTATGTCTCTATAGATTGTAGAATGAAAATGACTGTTTTATTTTGTGCTCCGAATGCCTATCCAATCTTAATTCTATTTAAATAGTTTTATGCTCCGAATGTTCAATTTTAGTACTGTTTTCCATCGAATTATCCGGACTGGATGGTGTTGAATGTAGCAACTTGTGGATTCTTTGAACGATTTCAAATATTTCTGTAATTGTGCTGATGTTGAATTTTGTGTTTAAAATTTTTACGTTATGACTTCTGAATATCTCTCTGTGGCTATTCCAGTTGTTGCTGATAGTTATTCTTCAACTTTTCTACTTTGGTTTGCTTTTGAAATTTTGATTGTTCATGAATTCCAGGAATCCGGTATAGTGACCATTTATAACATGAACATTTAGCTGAGTGTCGAAAATAGTGAGAAACTCTTATTGAAATACTGAGTATAAATATAATATAGATAGATATAGATAGATATAGATTAAATATCCAATCTTTAATACATTTGTAAGCGAGTACATATGATCATATAAAAACATTATAGAAACATTTATGAAAGACTGGAATTTCCAATAATTTAATTAAATATTTCAAATTTATCGATAAATCACAATATTTTTACATGTGAATCAAATAAATACCTTATTATATTTAGAATTAACTGTTCTAATACTTTATCTATTATTAAATTATTAATAATATCATTTGAAATACAACACTATATTTATTTCTACACACACACACACGTAAAAAATATCTTCTTTATATAAATGATTGTTTATAAATTATGCATGTATACACACATTTGAACATGTACAAATTGCTTTATAATACAAAATAACCAGCTATTATAAATATGAATAACTAATTGATAGTATGCATATTAGTAGAATTTTTTATTATATTTTATTTCTTTTTATTGGTAACAGTACATTTTTAAAAAAAAACTTTATGATTGCTTTTTAATTAGTACAGATTTCGACATTGTCAACTTCTTTAACAGCAGCTCACATTTTTTCTCTTCTCTCTTTTTGTGTCATTTAATACACATGCTAAGTTAAGGAAGTCAATTTTTCTGGAAAATCCAAAATTTTTTTTGAACAGGTACTTTAAGAATATTTAATTTTTATTAGTAATGTTTAAATAAGTCACCTTGCATAGTGTATAATCATTTTTGAGTTATTTAAGTTGAAAATCAAAAGCAAAACCAATAAATTTGTACCTTGAAGTACACGGAACGTTTTTAAAATTCATTTATAAAAAAAAATACTTAGTGTGAGAATATGAAATTGAGATTGAAAAAGTTAATCACCTTTTAATTTTCAACTCTTAAATTATAATTAAAAATTTTTCATTAAAATTATTGTAAAGGGTAACCTAATTTTTTATGTTGCTTATTGGAAATTACCAAGTTCATTTCAATTAATTTACACCATTATGTAATATTTTTGGTAAGAAAAATCAAATTTTCAATATATTAAAATTTATTCAATGTCATTAGTTGAAAATAGTCAATGGTTTAGGTCAAAATAAATGAAAGAAAGTAAACGTATAATGAAAAATTGATTTGTAAGTTGGAAATTCCAATATTTAGCTCTTTATTTTAAAAATTTTTGACCCATTCAATGACCATAATTATTATTAGTATAGCCTCTATACAATGCCGCCCTGCACATAAATAGTCCCAATTAAAATTAAAATTAAATTTCAATTAAAAAACTTGGCATCACCCTTATGAAAAACTAAATTAATTCAATGAAAACTACCTAGGGTCCTTTATTCTAAAAGATTTTTAAAAAAATCAATTAGGGCTAAAATAGGTATGGATTAAAATTATTTTACAATTTTCATTATTACAAACCTTATAAGATGCAATCATTCTTATTTCTCTGCATAATTAAATTTTTTTGTTCTTATATGTTGTCTATATTCCAACTTCATTTAACGAGGAACGTACACAATTAGTCATAGGCGATTTATAAATTATTTTAACCATTTCTTTTTGTATAGTTTATTTTCTGTTTGTTCTAGAAGAAACAATAAATCTTGTTTTTTTTTTTTAACTAACTAGAAAAAAATTTTAAATGAGTTCAATAAAAATGTATTGAATTTTAAACAATATAGAGTCAGTTATGGTATTGAAAGAGAAAAAACAAAAAATTTTCAGAGTTTTCTTTAAATATGAGAAAATAATAATGCGTAATGTAGAATTAAAAGTTGAATCGAACTTCCAGAATATTTCGAACAAATTAAAATTCCAAAGGGTTTTTTATACTATATAAAGAATAGCACAATTCTTAGAAAATTTTAAAATAATACAGAGATTTTTATATTTAAATGGATTAATAATTTAAAATTCTGGCAAAGTGTTCTGAATGCACAAAAGTAACACCTCTTTGTAATCTATATTTCTGTTGGTACACAAGCAGAAACTTCTTAAATCGAATTTAGTACAATAGATTTCTTAACTTTATAACAAATTCGTATTTTCTGTCTACAAACGTTAGAATACTCAGTTCGAAAGGGCAGTAGTAATAATCTACATCCTGAATTCAATGCAAGTTTTCCAGTTTTCAATTCAATTAAACTCTAAGTCAAATTCTGAGAAATGTACCTCACTTAGATCCGAATAATATAGGTGATTTTCTTCCGTCAATAAAATTAAGAAATTTTATTTTGACTTTCGAATTGTAGACTAATTCCGAATTAATTTATTAAATTTTTATTTCATGTTGTTATTCATGATTTCCTCAACCATTAGAAAACTAAACATGAAAATTGAACAAAAACAAAAAAAAATATACTTAAGTAAAAACCCAAAGTTACCAATAAAAAAAAAACGAAAGCAGAAATATTCTCCTTAGATTGTGCAAAAAATAAAAACACTGATTTTTTTTTCGCTCATAATTTCTGCTAGTGGAAATACAAAATTTGCGATCGATGATTTTTTATTGATTAGAATCTCCTTAGATTCTAATTGATTGTAAAAATTACAATATTTTTTAAATTAATTACTAAACCGGAAAATTCTACATTTTGTAAATTGATTGATTGTTATTTAAAATTGAAATTAAAATTTCATTCATTATTGTTCAAAAAATATTACGATTATGGCATCATTGTGGACTTGAGAAGAAGCTACTATAGATTTGTTTAATTTCTTTCTTCAACAATTTGATAACGATCATAGTTTTCACTTTATTTAGAACAAATTTTTTCATAGTTTCCTTCCTCTTTCAAACAAATTTTTTTGAAAAAAAATTTATCTGCCAATTTAATTTGGAATATCCGTCTGTTCGTCTGATCACGAAACTTTAAGACTGTTTAACATATGGGAAAATGAAATGTACAAGTTTCACAATTAGATTTTAGTGGAAATACTATTTTTATAAAGCAAAATTTTAAAATATTCTGCTTCTACCTCAATTAGTATTACAGTTATTCTTTGTATGAAATTGTAAAATTTTTTAAAATTTGTAAACTCTCATAGATTTAGGAGAAATGTATTCAAAATTGTAAGGTAGTAAGAATTATTTTAATAGATTAATTTAATTGGATTTAGTATTAAATCTAAAATTAGAAAATCTATGTAATTGAATTGTTAAAGAGAAATGTGCTATTTTACAAACCCCAACTTTCGTTGAATATCTTTTTGATTTTTAAAAATGATTTTGAAATTTACTTCAAAAGTAAAATTAGAGTAAGAAGACATATGTCTTTGCCATATTGTCAATAATTTATTTTCTTTTCTCACTATTTATAATATAACGTTACATTCATACAAATAGTGAAATATTTAAAATATAATGATCTTAAGAAAGAGTTGCTCTTAGATAGTAGAAAAATCTGCAAAAATTTGTGAATTAAAGGTATTAATTTCTCTATTAGCAATTTTCTGTCTCTACAAGAGCATTATTTTTATAAATTTTGTTCGTTTTTATTCGTGTAATTTTATAGTCATTTATCCACTTTTACACGGATCAATGAATGAAGGTGGCCGAAAAAAGACGGTTTTACAATAAATGGCAGACAATCCGAAGCAGTTGGCAACGATGAAGGTTTTGAAAGCGGAGACCTCTATTTCCACAATGGTCCGAGATTTCCTAGTAATATAGCCGAATTGACAAAGAAACTAGAGGACGAATGAGCTTTCGAAACATAGAACTCAGAGGAATACCTCTGAGTACGTGCAAACAATTCCTACGCGATGCGGCGATTGAGCAAGCCAACGGTAGGTGTACAAAAAGAACAAAACGTGGCGCAACCAGCTAATTGTTGGCTAAGTTATATCCGTATCGCATTATGAATCTGATGTTTCTCTCTCTCTCTATCTCGAGGAGACTTCTGAATTGTAATAGGAGTTATAATTCGGTATTGGCGAACATGCTAACCTAAGCTAATACAGTCGAGTCTGAAGTTCTATATGAAATATGTAATAAAGCAAAATGTGATAGTAATTTACTTAATAAAAATTTATTGTGTTCAATCTGATATTGCAATCTGAAATAATTTTATTTGTCATGTTCTTATTT